GTGTGTGTGTGTGTGTGTGTGTGTGTGTGTGTGTGTGTGTGTGTGTGGTGGCTTCTGAAGTTACATCGTTCAAAGGCTTTTATTTTTCTCTCCTTCTCTTTTGGTATATAAGATCATAGAGTGATCCGTGAGGTGCGCTGGATGGGAATTGCAGGCCGATAGGAAGAACTATAGGTCACAAGAGTTGTACAAGGGAAATTAAGGCATTTTGTAAATGAAGTTTATATGCTTCTTTGTGAAATTCCCTGAGAAGTGCAGGTTTACACCTGGAAAGGTGTAAGGCCATATTCAAGTATACTTTGGCCTTAAGCCTGGTTCATTGCTATTCTCATTTGAAATATCTCTTTTAAAATAATATTATCTCTATGTAGGCAATCCCTGTGATAAATTTTGTTCATTTTGCTGCAAGCTTTGACTTTTAGCAGGTGAGTTTAACTGGACCCTGGGACTCCTTCATTTCTCACATCTCCTTAACTTTTTGTCTGTCTTGCCTTAGGGTCTAAGGTTGTTTGTTTGTTTGTTTCGTTGTTGTTGTTGTTGTTGGAGTTGGAGTTGAGCCGGTTTGATCATGTTGGGTGCAGCTTAGCAAATTTGAGACCAACAGGGCTACAGAGTGAAACACTCCTCAAAATAAATAAGTAAATAAATGATCAAACTTCTATTTTTTGCATTTCAACTCTTAGTAAAATTATTGTTATCAGAGTTGCTACCATATTAATGGGATTCCAATAACAATTACCTTTAAATATTGTGTACTTTACAGCAGTGGCTCTCCAAACAGTATATGCTTTACATTAAAACATTGGTTCTCCAAACAATGTATACTTTACATTAAAACACTGGATCTCCAAACAGTGTATACTTTACATTAAAGCACTGGTGGTTCCCAACCTGTGGGTTGCAACCTCTCTAGTGATCACAGAGATTTCGTTACAATCTGTCAAAGTAAAAAAAAAATGATCGTTATGAAGTAGCAATGAAATAATTTTATACTTGAGGGTCAACACAACAGGAGGAATTGTATTACAGGGTCACAGCATTAGGAAGGTTGAGAATCACTGCCAAAGAATGTTCTTTTGCTTTACATTTGAAAGTGTACAGTTTGATGTATGAATCTGTTTCAAAAGACCAATCAAAAGAACTTTTTAACCAGGGGTATATCTTGTTTTGTTTTTGCACATTCATGGTTATTGAAGCACTGTTCTCAATAGCCAGGCACTAACTTGGATTACATCTTTTTCACTGATCTCCTCCTCAGCTGGTTTGAAACTAGGGCTCTGGACTAGTATAGACTTGTGCTAACTGAAATAATGAACCTAACATTGGCATTGGGTTTGCATGCTGCTGGGTTAGCACTTTAAGAGATTTGGGGGGTATTCTCCCAGATTTATAAATTATATCTTTTAATTTATTAATGGTAGGAAATGGGACTTAATTTTCTATTTTTCTTAGCGTCTCTTTACATTGTAGGTTCTCAGGAAGCACTTGTTGAATGACTGACTATGTTTGGGGTTTACGTACACATGTTTAAGTAAAAGTAAAATGCTGCAGTTCCCCAAGTGCTGCAGCGGGCAGCAGGCCATGAGACCACCCCACAGGTCTCCGCGGGGGCAGGCAGTGGGCAGTGGGTCCTGAGATCAGCCAGTCCCAGGCAGTGACGGTACAGTTCCCCAATTGGCTGCAGAGGGTCATGAGGGTCAGCGAGTCCCACGAGGAGAGACAGATGGATGGGCACGCCACGAGACCATGCCACAGGTCTCCGAAGGTGACTGGTCCCGTGCAGGGAGCCACTCAGCAGGCCAGAGATAGAGACATGGATAGGCACGCCACACAGAGTGAGGTTGGATATTTATTTAATGAGTTATGGAGGAGAAAGGGGAGTAGCACGTGGAAGTGAAATATTTATTTTGGAATGGTATTATTTTTGCTCCTCTCTTCTCCCTCTTTTCGAGGGGATGGGGATCAAACCCATGGCCTCTCACATACTGTCCAAGCACTCTGCCGCTGAGCCACTCTTGGCTTTCCCTTCCAGTCTCTGTTTCTTTGGCAAGATACTGTTTAATGTATTTCTCTAGCATGTGTTTGTCTTTAGTAGTATTAACGAGGACTTGGCTGACTTACGTATTGGGCAGAAAAGCAGAACCAAAGAGGGAAGTGAAAGGGGAAAAAACAGAAAAAAAGTGCACATATGTGGGGAGTAGAACAAGTTAGTAGCATCTGTGTCACATAGCCAGTGATGTGTTGGTGGCAGTTGCCCAAATATCTCTTATTAATGAAATTTTTATTTGAAAGGGAGACGTTCAAAAAGTGACCTTTTTTAAAAAAAAAAAAGAAAAAAGTACTTTTATTTGTTTATTAGGAGGAATATCAACAAAACTGAACATTTCTCGATAGGGAGTTCAAATGTATGCAGCACTATTTTTAGTCCTTATGAAGGTGGGTGTTACTGTTCTGATTTTGTGGGAGGGAAATAGTAGCACGGAGGTTAAATGGATAGTGCTAAATCACACAGGTGAATGGGAGATCCTGGATTTCCTTTCAATCCTTCCATAAATATTACAGTTGGAAAATCAGGATACGTTTGGCCAGGTTGTGGCTCAGGGGTAGAACACTCATCCACCACCCATGATATCCTGTACTCACCACTAGAGAGAAAGAGGGAGCTGGGGTGAAAGGCGAGGGAGGGAGCAGGAAAAGAATGGATGAGGAAAGCTGATGGAAGAGTCCATTAAACAAATCAGGAACATACACAGTACTTGCTTAGTGGCCACAGTAACAGGAAACGGGAGAAGGTGAAAGATAAAGCAAGGACAACATTGCAAAGATCAGGAAAGACAGCCCAGCTCTGTGGGGAAGAGTATCAGCTCTGGTTTGAGCTACCTCAGCTCTGACATTCCGTGATGGTTCTTGTGCCTTTTATCTTTCTGTGTAGAATGACAGTACTAACAGTAACTTACGGGGCAAAGAAAAAATATGACAATGATTTTTACAGCTAATAATCAATTTTACTTTATGTAGTTCAGAAAATTGTGTTAAACACACACACACGAAAAGAGAGTGTGTATGTTTTAGAGCACATATCCCTGTAACTGGAATTAGATTGAAGAAGTTGAACACTGCCATTACAAGATGTCCTGTCTTTCCTGTGTAACCTGTTCTTGCCTCCCTAGTGTGTTCTCTCGGCAGCAGAAGTGATGCTATTTTGCCTAGATAATTTCTTGGTAAGAAGTTGTCTCGTGCATTGTTAGATGTTTAGCGGTCTCACTGATCTCTGCCTTTTATGTGCAGTGCACACATCCTCCCCCAAGTCATACCGATTAATTGGATGATGTCAAATTCTTTTTTATATTGCTCTGTTCTACATCTCTTTATATGCTCTTGGTGATAGAACAGACGGTAGGACAGGGTAGTACAGGGAGCTCCACTCAGCTTTTGTATTTCTTTTTCTATTTTCATTAAATACTGTTTGGGGACCCTGACTGAAGAAAGAGATGTAGCTGAAGTTCTGTAAGGTCTTTTCTGAGCTGGAGGTTATCTTAGATTCTATGTACTGCTCCTATTGAAGTGCAGGCTTCGAGTTTAGATCATTTTAATTGTACAGGTCATGATTTCTCAATGAAAATAGAATAAGCAAAACAAAGCATTTGAGCGAGTTATTCTAGAGTAAAACAGTATAGTAACATTTGCTTTATATTTTAATGCCTGTTAGAGATTTTTGGAATTCTAATATAATAAAAATTCGGATCCAATAGATGAGGAAGACAGTATGAGGAAGATAGTATAAGACTCTATTCTTATTCTTCTCAAAGTTCTGTTTTCAACCATTTCTGTTAAACATGAGTACCCAGGGATGAGAGTAAAATACATTTTAAGCATTTTAAAGTAAAATTTCATATATACCAGTAAAAATAAAAATAAAACAGTGGTAAGTTTGTAAGAAATGGTGGTGGTCTGATTCTGGATCTCTTTGAAGGAAAAGGCAATAAGATATCCTAATGGATTAGATACTGAGAATAAGAAAAAGCAGTCACTAATGATTCCAAGAATTTTGACCAGAGCGATTAGATAGAACAAGATCCTACTAGTTGAAGTTAGGAAAACAGTATGTATATGGGTTTTTGAGGAAGAAAATCAAGTTTGGAACATGCTAAATTTGGGTTATGATTATATCCGAGTAATGGTGAGTAGCTAGTTGGATGGATGTACAGGTGTGAGTTCAGGAGAGATGGTTGGCTATTAGTATGTAGAAGCTGTCGTGCTTAAAACTACAGAGCTTTCTAGAGTTGAAGTGTTTCACTTCATACCACCTAAAGTGGTAGCCACTCGCCACGGTCTAGAGAAAGCTTGACGTCCTTGTAAGAGAGTAAAACCCACGTACTTCTTGTACTTGAGCTAAAATTCTGATAAAGCAGCCATTTCCTGCAGCTATTTCAATGTTTTCTTTTCTTTGCTGTCAATTTATCTGACTCCACGTCCTGTTTTTTTAAACTTTTCAAATAATTTTTAAAGTATTCTTTTCCAGTGTTGGGTCCAAGTAACTGAATCTGCCATATTCCTAGAAATGAACTGTAAGCTGAAAGATAAGAACTTTCAAGTTAGTAATATTTCTGATAAATATGTTCATCAGAGATCTCATTTAAGTCATGATGGCTTTATACCTATGCTTCCAGGATTGCTTAAGAGTTGGAGACCAACGTAGGTAACAGGGCGACATCTTCAAAAATGATTCCTTCAGCAAATTCCCACACTTTCCTATTTCTTTTGTATGCAAATATATTAAAAATAGTAAAATGCTTTTAAGATTAAACTGAATTACCTTTTTCTGGTTTATACAGGAGTAACTTCCTCAGTGCCTAGAACCTGCGAAAAATGGCAGATGAGGATAGTGATTCTAGGCATCTTATCTCTGAGGTAGACGATGAAGTAAATCCTGGACCTATGAATATCCAGTTTGATTCATCAGACCTAAGATCTAAAAGGTAAGACTTTGATGCATCTATTTCCTAATTAGAGCTTCTAACAATCAAGACTAATAAATTACAGCCAAAAAGTTGAAGAGAATTGATAATGAAATACGCTTTTTCTTTCAGACTTATACTCTGACATATGTGTATATAGCGATATGAATACTATTTCCTCATTTCCATAGTCTTGTATTTTGAAGTAAATCCAGCTGGTCTGTTTTATAAGTAAGATGCATGTGTGTAGTTGACTCAACTGTGTTGATTACCCACTGCATGAAAGTGATCAGATGCTAGAGATAGAAAAGGAATGGTCTTCACCTTCATTGACTTTAAATGCCTGCAAAATTTAAAATAATTTGAGATTAAATAATCTTTCAATTTATAACTGGAAACGTCAAAAGAATCCCTGGGGAAAAAAATGTAACAGTAAGTGAGCTCAGTGAAGTCGTCACGGAGTAAAAAGACGCTGCAATAAGATGCTTGCTGTGCAGACGGAGGACCAAAGATTGCATCCTAGCAACCACATAAGATAGCAACCACATAAGCCTATGCACACCTTTAAATGCAAGGATGTAGGGGTTAGAGGCAGGAGGATCAGTCGGACTTGCTGGCTGCCAGCCTAATCAAAAAACGTGAGTTCCGGATTAATAAAGAGACCAGTGCCCTCCTCTCACTTCAGTGCATGTGTATAGTTGCAGGCACATATACCAAAGTAGTTACCTACAAAATAGGCAAAAATAAGAGCAAAAGTGATGGCACATACCTATCATTCAGTACTCAAGAGGCAGGGGCAGGAGGGTTGTGAGATTAAGGCCAGCATGGGCTACCCAGTGATACCTTGTCTGTTTAAAAACAAACAAACAAACAAACAAACAAACAAAAACCAAGGAACTAGCAAGATGGGTTAGCAGGAAAAGGCATTTGCCACTAAGCCTGGACTACTTGAGTTAAATCCCCAGGATTCACATGGTAGAGAGAGAGACCTTACCCAGTGCTAGTTGTCCTATGACCTCCAAATATGTACTTGAGGGTACACACTCACTAAATAAATAGATAGATAGATAGATAGATAGATAGATAGATAGATAGATAGATAGATAGATAGATAGATAATCAAATGCAGGGTAAAAATAAATAGCCTACCAGTGAGAATATTAGCTAGAAAAAAATATAAAACATACTCAAAGTAGTTTTAACAGGAATATGCAAAATCTGTGAGGAAAAACTAAAATGTTTCTGAAATATGTAAAATAGGATTTGGAGTATTTCATCAAATCTGAGGTGTTATTATCAGTTGCATTTAAAATATACAGAGCTGGGCATAGTAGCACACACCTTTAATCCCAGCACTTGGGAGGCAGAGGCAAACAGATCTCTGTGAGTTCAAGGCCAGCCTGGTCTACAGAGTGAGTTTCAGGACATCCAGGGCTACACAGTGAGACCCTGTCTTGAATAGATTAGATAGACAGACAGATAGACAGATACATACATACATACACACACAAACATACATACATACATACAATATACATACAAATATACAAGAGGAAGCTGGAGAGAGAACTCAGTGGTTAAGATTGTTGGCTGTTCATCCAGAGGACATAGATTTGATTTCCAGGACCCACATGGTGGCGCACAACATCTGCAATTCCAGTCCAAGGAGACCTGGTGCCCTCTCTGGCCTCCTTCAACACTAGGATTAACAGAGTGCACAGACATTCTGGCAGACAAAGCACCCATACACATAAGAAGATCATTTTAAAAAGCTTAACACACCCAAACACAATGGGTCTATGTGTATTATATATGTAAAAAGCTGGACTTGGAATTTTGCTTTATATTCACTGAAAGAACTCTTAGCCATATTTGTTATTTTCTCGTTTATCTCTTATGTAACTATAAAGTTGATATTATAAACAAAGTGCATTAGTTAAGATATTGTTGAAATTTAGAAAACCGGATTCTTCTGGGTACTTTTTGATTCAGAGTAGTCAGACAGGTTTTGTGTCCCATCCCTACCCCATCCCACGCCAGCCCACATGCAGAATTGTCCTTTTCGCCGTGGGGACAGTTCGTGGCTGTGATGATGCAGCATTCTCTGATTTTCTCATTTGCTGATGAGGATGCTGGCAGGTTTCCACACCTGCAGTGCCGCGGTCATCCCAGAAGGTGTCTCACATAGGACTCCCACTTCTTCCCGGGCGTGCCTTCAGTAGTTTGACTGAAATGGCCGGGGTGACAGCTATTTGTCAGCATGCCCCAGAACTAAATACCACGCTACCACCTGGCCAGCGGTGACTGAGACACGTTAAAGATTGTCTTCTCTTAGAAATGTTGAAGTATATATGCTAAAAAAGATAGATAGCAGTAAAATATGTCTTTAAAAGGTCATATTCTACTTCAGGTTAAAAGAATAAAGATTATGCTTTTTAAATTTTAATCCAGAGGAGAGGCTCTGTTGATAAAGTGTTTGTCACCCAAACATGAGCAGCTGAATTTGGACCCCCAGCATCCATGTAAAATTCAGGAACTGTGGTGTGTACCTGTAATCACTGCACTGGGAGGCAGAGACAGATGGCGTCGGGAAATCATCGGCGAGCTAGCTTAGCCAGACTGATGAGCTCCAGGGTCAGTGAGAGACCAGCTCAGAAAAAAAAAAAAAGTGTGGAAACAGTAAACGCCTGATGTTGACCTCTGGCTTCGCATACGTGTGTTCACTATTTGTGGTCACATGTACACACATACATACACATGAGTGTGCACACACAGACACACAAATGTGCACACACCCACACAGATATACACCCACAAGCAAACAAACTTTAATCCACAGATTTAGTGTGATCCCGTTCTGAGTGCCAGCAGGCAACTGTGAAGTTGTTGCGTATCAGCAATCCTATTACCACACACGCTGATTCACAGGGTCAAGTGACGTATGTGCAGCGTTGTGTAAGCTGCGGAGACTGGAAGCAGCAAAATATCTTTTCTTCCAGGACTGAAAAACTAAATTATGTCATATTCATACAATGGAATATTTTCATCTAATACAAAGAAGTGGCTTTATGATATATCCAAATGGAACAACTCATCAACTTACTTTATTAAAAGAAAAAAATGCAGAGCAAAATGTATAGTGTGCCACCGTTTATGTAAAAATTAATCACTGCATTATAGACAACCCAGTATGTAGAAATGAAGTCTGGGGGAAGAAGTAGATGACTGAGAAACCAAGCAGCTGAGGGAGGATAGACAGTGTTAGCAGGCACCGACACCTGCTCCACTCCCACTCTCATTCCCTCCCAGGGGCCTGGTCTAGTTAAGAGCTGCAGCCATCTCCAGCCTGTGCTTTGATCGTGATGATATTGTTACCGTTTCCACATACTTGACTTTGCAGCCTTCCTTGTAGCTAAAGTTGGTACTGGGAAGTTTATCACACAAGCAGTTTATCATTGTCATTAGCAGTGGCTATTAGAAGAAACAGAAATTGATATTCTGAGTCTCACTTGTATATTCCAATATCAGTGACTATAAGCACTAATAAATGCTGACCGGATTCTTAGAGCTTTCTCGAGACTTCTAAGTTCTGTGATAAATAATTGACCACTATGACAATAGGACATAGGTCATTAAAGTGCATTCCATTACAGTAAGTTGGCAGGAGTTCAAGTGCTTGAAAATTTAATCTCACAGGGTAGATTAAATGGAAATACCTTTTCTAAAATGAGATTTATCAAAAGAAGGAATCCGCTATTTTCAATTCTGGCGTGACTGGTAAGCATGTATGAAGGAAAGCAGCCACTTGTAAGAACTTAGCAATCATTGCTTTTGTTTGTGAATTAATCAGCAATTAAATTAAATAGAACCAAATTAATTAAACAATTAAATTAAACAATTAAATAGAACCAAATTTTCTGTTTGAGAATGCGGCAACTACTACTTGGTGAGGAAAATATGTGTACTCTGAAACATTGTTTCTGATGAGATATGGATCCTCCCACTCTCACATGTAAATAGAACCCAGACACACCGTGTCTTCCCGTGGAAGATCCCACTTCTACAGTTGTTACCAAGCTTCAATCCTTTGAATCACCCTACTTTGCTATCTGTGTGCCATATATATAGTATGATTTGATGTCTCTTAACAGTGTATTCGCCTTTTTAAATCAGAGTTCATTTAGCCTTATCTCATAGTTGTCAAATGAGGACTTTAAAGTGTCTAATTTACATTGTCACATATCCCAGCTAGTTAGCACTCTTGACTGTAGTGCCAAAAATCAATCACCTTTCGTTTGGAAAACTGTGTGGCTTTGGGATGATGGTGTTATTCTTCTCTCTCCCACTAGGTGGCAATCAAATCTTATATTAGTTCAGATATGATTTAACTGCTATGAACTGAAGGATTGCATGCTTGACGTTTTGGTGAACTAGAGTCTAAGTCAGGTACAGGGAGGGTTTTGACATTATAGGATACATGTCATAAGCATTTTGGTCATTTAGGCCACTTTTATAAAAAGGCAAGGCTCCTTTTTCTTTAGCATGCGTCCTTCCTATACCATTTTTTAAAAACCTGTTTTGAGGTAGAATGAACAGTTCAAATGTAAATGGAAGGGCAGAAAGGTCTAAAAGTATCCTGGGTTGTATGTAATACATTCTGTTTGGAATTAGCAGGCTTTTCTCAGGCTTCAGGGACTACTGATGGAGCTGGTATGCAGGATTGCTTCCTATTCCCACTGCTCTGTGTCTGTGCCCTGGGGAGGCTGAACATTCCAGACAGCCTACAAAGTTATGAAATGGCTGATTTAAAAATATTTTCCAGTGCTGGGAATTGAACACAAGGTCTGGTATACGCTAGGCAAACACTGCTATGAGTTGGCTTGGTTTTTAGCTGTCCCCTTCTCTCTGAATCTTTCTGTTTTCTCTTCTCCTTTGCCCAGAGTTCAGGCTTTCCTGTCATTCTTTGTAGGTCCAGGGATACCCAAGGCAGGGGCTCACTCAGCTGTAACTCCAGGATGCTT